CCTTGGAAAAAATATTCATAGGCTCTAATGTTTTAGCAGCCATTTGGCATTTGACAGGTAGCCGAGCCGATAATAGGCTATTTAAAATTCACGGAACTAAACTGGGTTTTTATCCTAGCACTCGGGAGGCAGAGGCCAGTGCATCTCTGCAGAATCAAAGCTAACTGGTGTATATACAAGTTCTAGACCAACTGGGGCTACAGGGAGACCCTATCTCAAAAAGACCAAAAAAAAAATAAATGAATAAATAAATTTATGAATGAATGAATACAGGGAGATCCTGTGTCAAATGACAAACTAAATAATAAATAAATGAACAAAACTCATGGAACTGGCTGTGGTTCAGTGTGAACATAGATTTGAAGAGAGTAGCAGTAATAAATAGTACCATAGATAAGGCTGACATTGTACCTGGACTTTCTGACCCCCACTGGACTGATAAGAAGCTGGTAAATTTGCACTTGAGAAAATTGCAATTGCTCAGAAAACCAAGCCCTTTCCCTACATTCTCTTGCATGTGTGAACTCTGGCACTCTACACCTAGTCATGCTATGGCCCCCAGTCTTTTCTGGATACTGGGACCACTTTAATAAAAGTAAAAATTCAATTCATCTTTTTCAAACTAGGCCTTCAAGACATAATACTAGGGCTGGAGAGAAGGCTCGGGGGTTAAGAGTGCTTGCTGCTCTTCCAGAGGATCTGAGGTCAGTTTCCACTACCGTATTTGAGCAGGTTGCAACTGCCTGTAACTCCAGCCCAGGGATTCCAACGGGCCTCTTTAGGGATCCACACATGTGGCATACATTTACAGACATACACATGTACACATAAATTTAGAGAAAATCACACAACTACTTCATTCCATCTTCCCTGAGTTCTGAACACAGGGAATTAATTTTAAGTATGCCTTGTCTTTAACAGAGAATAATCTGTGTGTGAATGGGATCAATCACATGCTGACAGGAAAGATGTCAGTGTGGTGTAGGAGATATGTTATTAGGTAAGCATAAATGTATTAAGTATAACTAGGTGCCACATAAGTATTTTCTTTGGAATTCTGAAAATATGAATGTTTTCTTGAGTGGAATATCAGTATAGAATTCCATTTTTATGTAATGTTGTTACTGAAACATGATTGTAGCACTATTTCTTAATTTTAAAATACCCTTATATTTTAGTTTTCAAAATTAGTTTTTAAGATGCTACAAAACTACTCAAAACAGTGTGGTGTTTTTTTTTTTTTTTTTTAAGACATATTCTGACAAGAGATTCAGAGTCTTTAAAATAGTTTGAAGTATATTACATTGCATATTACAGACTCACTTAGTCATGTCTGAATTTGGTCACAGACTAGACTATCAATTGCAAGTATTCTTTTTTCTTATTTTAGTAGACAATTTTCTGTATCCTCGGACAATCATCTTTTTAGATGTAATCTTTATGAAATTGCTTATTTCAGATTTCAGAGTTTTTTCTCTCAGGCTTATGGAATGAAAAGTAATGGGCTAAGTTATATCACTTTCAGAGTGAGGAAAAGAATCTTGGCTAGTTGTCTTATTGGTCTGTAGTGAAAGGTATTTAAAAGTTTATCTGTATATCACTTTATGTGTATGATTTTCTTCATTTGAAACTGTTATAAAGTCCACTGGTCCCTGATTCAAAATTGAGATTTATAAACATTACAGTTTGAACCATAGATTTTCTTAAGCATCAAATCAGTGTAAATAGCCATTGAAAAATGTCAGTCAGTTGATTTCCCCCAAGTAAATATTTTCAAACCACAAATTCCTCTGTATTTTTCCACAGTCTTATGCCCACCCTCTTTTGAATGCCATTAATTGATTCTTTTCCCTAAAAGTATACAGTGACATATTTTTAAATCTTCATGAAAAAGTTACTTAAAGAATTGTAGCACAGTTAAGTTTTATGACTATTTCCTGAAGAGTGGATATTTTAAAAACTATTATATCATCATGAAATTACATTGCATAGTTCAGTACAATAATTTAGAACTTGATTTTGTGATTTTTGTAGTTACCTAGATGTTTTCTTTTCACTACATAGACCATAACGCTAGTTTTCCAACCTCTTTAAAAATTTCAATAAACCTTGCTTTCAACTGTCAGAGTCTTTCTTGTATGTTGTAGGAGTCTTCCAGTTGAAGTAGTAGGGTCTTAGTAATAAGAAATTGCAGATACAGTGTCCTAGCATATTCTTAGTAGAGATTACAAGTGAAGGAATTTCCCTGAATAAGTTATCCACATTGTGTAGCACCAGTGTTAGTATTTGCATTTGTCATTGAATCAAGTTAGAAGTCTTTTTTTTAATTTTACTGTAAAGATTAGTATAATTTCAGAGAACATTATTTTCTTACCAGTTTCCATTATAAGTCTTCATTTTGCTTTGTTCAAAGTAAAACTAAAGGTTAATTTAACCAAGTAAGAATTTTCAAAAGTTATGTTTGATCTTTTTTTACCCTGAAAATAATGGTTAACCTATCTACATTATATTAGGCAGAAATGCACTTGTTGAAATTATAGCAGAAACTATACTTGACTTTCTTGTGATGTGAAACGCTTTTTAAAAAGTTGTGCTTGTCTGTAACTGAAATGTTATAGAATTGTAACACTTTAGGGATTATAGAGTTATATTTATTAGCTCTCAAGAGATTGAAGCACAATAATTTTCATGTAACAATCTTTATCCAAGTGCTGCTAATCTGTCGTGCAAATGCTTTTTGGTTGCCTATCTAGTTATTTACAGATAACTGTAATCCTTGAGACAGTCTTGTTCATTTGTATTTAAAATTGGATATTGTGAGTTACTACTTTAGGATATAATCCATCTAATCAGCTCTGTTATAAACTGTTTGGATTCATTAGGTTTTGTGTTATTAGTAGGATAAATTTGGAAGGGGCTATTTACTACAGTAAGGGAAAAATTACATTGTCAGTATCATTTGGCTTGAACATTTGTGGTGTTATGTTTGTTGGTGTTTTTAAATTGCTTAAGCCATACATTCTCTTATACAAGGTTTTTTGTTCCTTTCCAGCAGTCTTTTTCTGCTTTTGTCTGTTAAAATTAATATTTCATAGACCTTAGAAATTGAGAAATTCTTGAAACATTTTATTTCCTGGAGTTCATCACTTTTGACTCTTGTGTGACGTCATAAAAGATAGCAAAGCCTTTCACTTCTCTAAATAAATTTCAGAGTAAACACTGTGAGTCTACAGAGCAGATTCCCTAGGCTTTCCAATGTTTTTATTTTCTCATGTTACTTTGGTTCATGTTCTTCTTTTTTTTTTTTTTTTTTTTTTTTTTTTTTTCCTGTTAGAGTGTCTACCACCTTCGGGACACTTAATATTAGAGGATGGATGGAAAGTAAAATGTTGTTTTGGTGTTTATTAGCAAGATTACAGAATATTTGATTTTTGTTGTCAGTGTAATAAAGAACCTTCTGCATTGATCAATGTTCTCTAGGAATGTGAATACATTCATCAGGTGTGAACTCTTGTAAATGAATTTTGTATCTTGAATCCCCATATATATATAATGTGTATCATCAAAATAAAAATAAACATTATTTGCTTAAACTTTTGTGTGACTTAGTATTAATGACAGCTGTTATCTACCTTCCTTGAGGTGATATCTCACATGCTTTCAGCATCTTGGGGGTTATGGATTCATGTTTATAATGCTACTTTGTAAATTTGAAGTACTGATTAGCTTTTTCCCTGCCTGGTAGCCACAACTGGGACAGGGGAGGGAAAATAGAAGAATGCAGTGATGGAATCAACTAACCCTTGGGCTGGTGTTGGATCTAAGTCAGGACTTGTTACTTTAATGTGGAATGCTTGGCCTGGCGTTTAAGAATCTGGAAACCTCATTTAAGTAATATACAAAACGTACAGTAGGACTGAACGAGGTAGTCGGGTCCCCTGTCCCCACCCCCGAACCCTTTGGACTTCACTCTTCAGTCATGAGGCTGCGCTTTGATGGGCACTTACTGTATAGCTTTTAAATGGCCAGCAATGTATCAGAGTGCATTGTCAACCAAGGAAAAAGTTCTAGGGGCTTCTTTCAACTGTACAGCATGTGAATACTGGGTTGCCTAACGAGACGAAATGACCGGCAGGGGTTCCAACGGTAAAGTCGAAACCCTTGACACAATGGACAAGATAGATACCCTTGGAGCACAGGTCCAGCGCCTGGGTCCATGTATCTGGCCAGGGTTCCGACGCCCACGCGGCTCCTCCCACTTAAGGTGGCGGGCCACGGCTGGCAGTCCTCCCCGGACTGCCGCTCGATGACGTGGCAGCCCAGCGGAGGAAGGGCCGGGTGTCAGCCGGTCCCGCCCATCCGCCACTCTGAGGTCTGCTCGCGCGTCGCCGAGACGCACACGGGCGCATGCGCACGGAGCACCTAGTCGCCGCGCGGCCACTTCCGGCGCTTCCGGGTCGTCGCTTGGGTGGTAGTCCTGAGGCGGGGGCTGGTGACGCGGCCGGCGCCCTCGGGAGGCCGCGGAGGCGGGGCTCTGCCTGCGGCTCCGAGAGCGGCAGGTGCGCAGCCGGGGGTTCGCGAGCGGGCCTCCTACGCTCCGGCGGCCGCGGGCTGCCCACC